AGTTACCTATCCCTCGAGTTTTGACATAAGTGAATATTCGAACTCTTGTATAGTATTTCCAAAGTCAGTTGGAATAGTGAAAAACATAACTAGCGTACAAAGAGTACTCCGTTTATATATTTTGCTAATGCTAAAGCTACCTAGTATTGGGCTAAATAAATACGGGTCTAGCCTTGTATTACTAGTGACACTTTATCATTTGACAAAGCAGTAGACCAGCTGTATTTTCGCATTATCTTGCCTATGTTATCATCACAATATTATTGAGTCGCTAGGTAATAAATTTCAGTACCGCGTGTTTGGGTTTTTTGATAGTTTCTTATTTTTCAGATAAAAAAATCTTTATATATATATTTTAGAATTTTAAGTGAATTTAATAATTACGTCAAAAATCAGTTTATCTGATTGAACTAAAAGTAAAGAAATATTGAGTGGAAGTTTATCTGTGACAGTTTTAATATGGCATTTTGGAGACCGTTTGAGGCAAATAGTAAAATGTCACAGGATAATGAGAACATTGACTGTGATTCAGAGAATACTGAAGGTGATTGGGAATTTAAAAATAAATATTTACATGTTCAAACACAGAGACTTGTTTTAAATATTTTTGAATGTTTGAAAAGAGAAAATTGTGAAAAATCCGACAACTTTATAATAAGAAGAATATGTGAACTAACGAAATTGAAACGAACAACTATTTATCGTATTATTATTTTAAAAGGAGATGTAACTGACCATTTTGTACAAAGAGACAGTTAATCAAAAGCTTGCGAAAATTGATAAAAGTGGAAAGCAATTTATACGTAGGACAATTTATAAAATGAATCAAGAAAATCAAGTTCCTACTTTAGAGTGTATTCAAAGAAAATTATTAGATTACCCCGACTATAATAACAAGTCCCTAGAAACATTGCGTCAAATTTTATTAGATTGTAGATTTAGACATAAGAAATTGGACAAACAAATAGTGATAATGGAATCACAACGAATTGTTAGGCTTCGTCAGGATTATTTGCGCAAAATTAAAAATTTTCGTGATAGTAATCGACATATCGTATACCTGGATGAAACATGGTTTGATAGTCATGATGTCGTTAATTATGGATGGTTTGATGACTCCAAAAATTGTTGTTTGCAAACGCCTTCCTCTAGAGGAAAAAGAATAGTTATTTTGCACGCAGGAAGTATAAATAGTTTTGTCCCTAATGCTTTGTTATTATCAGCTAAACAAATTAAAAAGTACTATGCTGATTATCATAAGGATATGACGACGTAATTATTTGAAAAATGGTTTAAAGAACAGCTATTACCTAATATTCCTAAGGAAACCGTTATCGTCATGGACAATGCCTCTTATCATTCGCGTCAAAGTAGAACAATTCCTAACCGAAGAACTAAAAAAAGTAATATTTTGGAATTTATAAAAGAGAAAAACTTAGCCGTTCCTCGAAAAAATCCGACAATCAAAGTTTTACTAGAGATTATAGAAAAACAGAATGTTGAAAAGGAATATTATATAGATGAACTTTGTAAGACGCACGATCATACTCTGCTTCGCCAACCTCCCTATTATTGCATATTTAATCCGATAGAATTAATATGGGCATACATTAAAAGTAATTACGAAAGATAAATTAATCCCCGAATTTAAGCAAACAAGTTGTTGAACGTATATAGTTGGTTTTTAATGATGAACACAGTGATATTTGGAAAAACAGTATATCACATGTAGTTTCTAAAGAACAGGAATATGTTCTTCTGCCACCTGTACAGCCAGTTATAATTGACCTCAATAGTTAGTCCGACGATGAATTCTCTAATGACGACTAGGGCTACATTTTTTGTAGCTTTATTTTTATTCATTTATTTTTGAAATTAGTTTGACTAGTTCCAGTTTCTGTTTATTTTTTTTTGTTTTTGGTGTGTAAATACCTATATTCCTTGTCATAAGTAGTTTTATTTATACTTGTCAATTTGCTGAATGAAATGTTATATGTCTAAATATTATTCAAATACAATAAATTTTTCTGGTTTAATCGGTGAATTTGTATAGAACTACCAATGTTTCGGTAAAATTCTGCTACAGTCACAATTATTTTTAAAAACATTGAGGGACAATCAATTTTATATACGAACCATGGTGTAGGTGAATTGAAGTAGCAATAATAATTTGTTTAACAAAATTAGTAGGCAGGCAAATAAAAAGAAGAGTTTTTGCAAAATTAAAAATTACCAGTGATGTTATAGTAAAAATTAAATTAGTTTTTAAAAATAACCATGAAGTAAACAAAAACTTTAATTGGCCGATTATATTAAAAGAAATTTTGTGTGATTTTAAAAAATTCTACTATGGTCAGAAAATTAGCCTCTTTATATACAGACACCTGGCAAGATTAAATCTACAGGTTTACTTCACCTGTAATGAACTAAATTAAACTTAGCGTTCTCACATGCTCCAAAAAAAGTGATATAAAACGATGTTATAAGCCAATGTGCGAAATGAGAATAACAGCGAGAAGATCAAGAAAATCAGTGAACGAAAGGATAATTTATAACGCAGTGTATAATAAGACGAATCAAGAACTGAGACGCGAAAACCAAACCTGTCTTCCGCACCCGTCTCTCCTAGAATACTCATCCTTTCTCTCTTTGTCCTCTACGAAACGATGCAAATCGATTCAATACTTCTATTTTAAAATCATTAAAACATTATTTTACATACCTAATCTAAAAAATATTCCTACGCCTATGTTATGCGGCTAAATTGAAAGAATTTTTTTACCAGTTGTTTTTATACTGTTCCAACTGACTTTAGACAAACTATATATTCGATTATACAAGGGTTCGAATATTCGATCTGCGTCATAATAAGTAAATAACCGTTGTAATACATGATAACTATGGAAAATCGAGCGTTTTCATTGGTTCATATTTCAATGAGTGGTATAGTCCCCTGTTATTTTTTATAAAATTATAAGAGAAATAAATTTTTGGGAGTAATTACCCACTCAGGATATAAAAAAATCCGTAGTAAAACAAAGTCCTGGAAATAAAGCTACTTTAACCCAAATTAAAATGTTTCTTTCAAAGTGTATAGTATGACATCGCCCTAAGTTATTCAAAAATAGGCTATTTTAAAACCATGAATGCGTTTTTTTAGGGAGCATCAAAATAAATAAATGACATTACAGGATTCCATTAGAAATGTTATACCACCACTTATTATTAAAACCAAATCAGTAGTTTCTAAAAAAATAGTCCGTAAAATTATTTAAATACGGCCCAGAACCATGTTACTCGTTGGCGAACCCGTAAAATAAAAATCTTAAGTAATAAAAATAAACTTGAGTTTTTACTAACCGTACCAACATGTCAAAAACAAACGTCTGACTGGCTGAAATTGACAAATACAATTTCCAGATTAATTTTGTTGTTATTTAATTAGTATGTCTTTAAACATTTGTATTCAAAATGTTTTTTGTCTCATTTTGCAACCTGATGTAGGTACTCCATCCATTAAATGACGATTTCATTAATACGAACTTATTTTTTACCGATTGTCGTTGCGTACCCATATTATCTTTGATGTACCTACACAGCTGTAGGTACAAAAACGCAAATGAATTCACACATGTATTAATTACGGGTGACAATAAAAAAGACCAGAATTTTATCATAACGACGATTGTGGACCAATACCCCAGCAGGAACATCAAAATGCAATAAACATAATTATATGCAGATATGAAAAGTAAATTAGCAAATCCAAATTTACGGTTCAGATTTAATGGATCGACCGGCCGGCACTTAATAACAGCCTATATAGTGGATTCTGTTGATACCAAAATGTCTCATTGCTCTGTAATAAACTAGCCGGGTGCGTGCTCGATTTTTATTTAATACTGTTTTGGAAGTATAAAAACTTCCAACTTGATTTCTTTTACTAATATCAAACCTGTAAATATTCTCGTATATTTGTATATGCAGCTAAAAACTTTAACGTATAGTACATGTATATGGCCTCTAATTGAATTTTCTTTTCGAAAACCAGCCTGGTACTCTCCCATGGTATCCTCAAATACTTTTTGTAACCTTTCTTTAATAAATATTGCCATTATCTTGTATGTTACGTCTAAAAGCGCAATCCCTCTATAATTCTTAGCATCTTCTTTTATTACCAACAACTGGATATTAGTCAAATCTATTTTAGCATTTCTGCATTGACGCTATTTTCATCTAGACTTTTGTTATTTTGCATTTGATTTAACATATTTCTTATTTCTAAAACTGTATCTTCTGACTCATGCTCGTTTTGTTGCTCGTTTATTTTTAACATAGTTTCGTCAAATAAGTCATTGATATATTCCTTCCATCTTGTTTTTATATCTTCAGTTTTCCCTAATAAATTGTCATTTTTATCTTCAATAAACATCCGAGTTCCAGCTTTTCGTTTCTTAACTTGAATCACTTCTTTGTAAATTTTTCTAACATATATTTTATTGTATTTCCAATCCAATCTAAATATTTTCGTTTGCTTACATACTTTCTTAACTTCTACATGTATTTTTGATATTAATTAAATTTTAGCAATACGAATTTTATATTTTAGAGATAGGTCCGTTTCGAAATTGCCTATACAAAAATTGAATTGTTAATTTTGCTCCAAAATTACATGTTGTTATTTAACAGCACAAAGCCCAGGAGCAACATTACTCATTATTCGGTGTTAATAGTATTGGGTCAATGTTGACAGGTTCGGGAATATAGAGTGCTCATCGTAGCGAGACCGCAAACTGTTAACGGTGTCATACACCACCGCTTCCGAATGTTTGCTACCCCATTACCCATTACACATACGTAGCTGGCTTACATCTCATCAACCTGTGTCATCCTCGCATATGGTTTGCAATTGCGAAAAATATCACGACAGTTGGTTATAAGACAGTTTTTAAATTTAATAATAAATTCTAATATTACAAAATATACCAATATATTGTTTATAAATAGAACATTTAAATATATTTATTTTATAACTAGTTCCCACATTTGTTGTTGTTTCCACAAATTAAACCACCTACACATATTCCCTTGAAAGGACCAACTCCAAGAAATGGATATCGGCAAGTTTGACCAGCATCTAAAAAAAAAATAGAGCATGAACATAGTAAAAAGAAAAAATACAAAAAATATATTTCAAGTAGGGAATGATATATTAGATTACAAATGCGGGGGAGTACTTTATGGGAGGCCGTTTTTATACTTTATGGAATATGTCTGTTATTTACGTTTGGAGAAGAAAATTGTTCAAATAAAAGTTACTTCTAATATTATTATATATAATTTTTGCTTGATGTCAAAATTTCCTGGAATGGTCCGTATTCGAGAAATTTGACAAAATATGCAAAATTCTGATTTTTATGAAAATTGTTGAAATAAAAGTTGTTTGCGATATCGATCTCTATAAATATTTGTTTATACATGATTTTTTTAAAATGGACCGTAATGGAAAAATTGTAGGAAAAGTGCTAAATTTAAATTTTTCAGTATTTTCGTTTTCAATGAATATCTATAGAAAAATGTTTCGAGGTAGATGGAAAATGTATATATTTAGTTTATCCTCTAAACATTTATAGAGGTGATGCAATAGGTTGTACAAAATAACCGGAAAAGCCTATAATAACTAGATAGGAAAGTGATGTGTTGGACACATCAGATTTTTTAATTTCTCTTAGCTCTAGCTGAACAAAAATAATATAGTAAATGATTATAGTCTATTTTTATGTATAAGAGAGTAATAAAACAGCATTTCTAATGCAAAACTTAGTACGGTCATTTTAAATATTTTTACAGAATAATCTAAATATTTCCTAAAATTGTAATAAATGTACCTGAGCTATTACAAGTTTTGGGTCTTTTATTGGTCCTTTATAATCATAAGCTGTACAGAACAATAGAAAAAGGTTTGGACAGGCCAAAAGCCCTGTGTATTAAAGATTACATAGCCGTATCTTAAGATTATTTTCAATAAGTACCTATTTGCCAATTTTGTTTTATTTTAATTCCAAGAATTTCTTACAGTAATCGAATTACAAGTAGATAAATACCTTCCCAACAAATTTCACCCAAAAAGGGGTTATAGGTTTTTCATTTAGTAAGGAGGTCCAAGTTGTGTATTCTTGACAGTTTACTAAATGTTTAGTTGCAACTTGCAAGGTGCAGTGTGAATACTAGTGTGATCATGGAAAATTTGGAAGGGCCGCGTAAACGACAAAAAATAGGTCCTTTAACAGTTAATGAAAAAACATTAATATTTAATTGTTATAAATCATTTACAGACAAACATTTATGTAAAAGTGTTGATGACACAGTGGAATTAGTTAGTAGTACGCTTGGTGTTGGGAAATCTACGATTTACAGAGTTGTTAAAGAAGAGAAAAGTGGCGAGTTTCAAACAGCACGTAAAGCTCCAGGAAAATCAAACTTTCAATTAGAAAATCTTTTGAAAGAAAGACTTCGAAGGAAAGTGCATGCGTTCTTCTTTAGAAAAGAATTTACGACAGTAGACAAAGTTCTTGCCACGGTTCGAGATGATAAGGATTACCCTGAAATGAGTCGAAGCACACTATGGAAACTTTTAAAAGAAATAGGTTTTCTATGGAAAAAGCATTCCAGAAAGTCTATTTTAATAGAAAGAAGCGATATTGTAGTATGGAGAAGAAATTACCTAAGAACTATAAAAGAAATGAGAAACCAAAGAAGAAATATATTTTATTTAGATGAAACATGGATCAACGAGGGACATAAACCAAATAAATTTTGGCAAGATGAAACTGTTACAAGTCGAAGACAGGCTTGTTTAAATATTTTATCTACTGGTTTAAATCCACCATCAGGAAAGGGGCGCACACTAATAATAGTACACATCGGTAGTTCAAACGGTTTTGTTAAAGGTGGTTTATTGACTTTTGAATCTACTCGTACCGGTGACTACCATGATGACATGAATGCTGATGTCTTTAAAGAGTGGTTCGAACAAATTATAGATCTTCTTCCTCAGAACTGTATAATAGTAATGGATAATGCAAGTTATCACTCGAGACTTATAGAAAAAATGCCCACAATCAAGTGGTTAAAAAAAGATTTACAGAATTGGCTAAGTTCAAAGAATATTAAGTTCCATCCCGGTTCTGTGAGAAAAGAACTGTATCATTTGTGTTCCCTTCATAAAGAGAAATTCAAAAAATATGAAATTGATGAAATTGCAAAAAATCGTGGGATGACGGTGGTTAAATCACCACCATATCATTGCGAAGTAAATATTGAACTGATATGGGCACAGATAAAGGGAGAAGTTTCAAGAAAAAATAATTCTTTTAAAATGAATGATGTTAAACCGTTGTTTTTGGAGGCTGTAAATAATGTGAAGCCTGAAAACTGGGAAAAGGCAGTAAATCATACGATTAAAGAAGAAGAGAAAATATGGAAGTTGGACAATATTACTGATGAAATGATCGAGCCATTCATTGTAAATATTGGTTGCGACAGTTCATCTTCTGATTTCGATTCTGATTTGGATTTGTAGGTAAGAAGTAGTTTTTATATTAAAATGATTATTTATGAACGTAACGTTGTTTAAAAGTCAAAGTTTAAACCCTTATACCTACATAACCCGCTTAACACAATGTTCTTAACATACCTTGTGGAAAAATAAAACATTTTAGGAAAAATTGAATTTTTTTGCCTCCAGCTGTTTAGAAGTTATAAGCAGGTTAATTAGGTGAAAATATGAGTGTATACTCGAGGAATAACTTCAAAAAATATTTTAACTGTCTACTAAAAGAAGTGATACGCCTATGGATTATGAACGCTTTATTATTTTAATACTCTCTCATACATAAAAATAGACTATAGTTACCCTAATAATTTAACTAATAATAGCTATTTATGAAACCATTTCGTCTTAATTTATGTAACGAGTGAATATTTTCGGGACGAGCAGAGCGAGGTCCCGCAAAATCACTATAAATTAATAAAAAGTCTGTTTACGAATACTTTTATGAAGTACCCGTGCGAATGGCGTAATCCTTAAAAATTGCAACATGATATTGATAGAGACATTCATTTTTCTTCATTACATCAAATCACTCAGTAATACGATTACCTATAAATGACACTGTATCTGAAATAATTCTTATTAAAATTAAATTTTGATGAAACATGAAAATTTTTAAAAAAAATCTTACACAGTTTTGTGTAGCAATCATCACAACATCCACAAATTCCTCCTTTTGGAACCAGTATTTCGTCTTTAAAGCAAATTGGTGCTGAACAACTTGTAAGCTTACAAAGACTCGGGGGGCAAGCGAACAAATTTTGCTGACCCAAACTCACTAAAATACTGCATGTAGTCAGTACTAACAAGAAAAAAAATATTTTTATCATATCTACTTTACACAAACAATTCAATTTGCAAAATATTTAAACTCTGATAAATGGAATATATCTACTGTCATATTTATACCAGATATATGGTTGTTTACATGCATAAATAATCGTATAGGGTGTTTCAAATTAAAAAGTTTAATGAACATTTTAGATATTTTTGTAATAAGGGTGGGAAATCAGTGAGAGTAATGTACACACACTAATGCGAATAGGTAAAAATTTGGATTGACTATCGTTTAAACTTGGAAGGGTCGCTATAGGCATTGAGACATTTCCTTAGTGCAGTGGCGACAGAAGGGGGCACAATAGATCTTTTAGGTCGCAGTGTATTAATTCATGCTAGATTGTTTGTAGGGCAAGATAGTAGAATTTTCAGATTGAATTTTAAGAGAAACATTGTATCCATCTTTTTAGCATAGATATCTAATAACCTGTTGGAAGTTTTAAAATTAACCAAAAGTTCTAAGTAGGAATTTTTGTTTTTGTTTTTTTAATCAATGCTTATAAATTTAGTTGCAAAATATTAACCAAATTAAAAGTGAATTTGGAGCACAATAACTGTAAAATTTATTGCAACTTCACTAGAAAATAATATAACCAAATTTTGCTTTGAAAGACTCATGAAAATAAAATAAAAGAAGTTATGAGTCATAAAAGTTGTATGACCATATTTAAATACATATTTGATTGTTTTCACATCGTCAAATAATTTTGCTATGTTATATATAGGGTGTGTCAACACGAGAGTTTACAAATGTTTAAATTTTTTCAATGGAATACCCTGTATTAATTAATTGGTGGCATAACATACAGGGTGTTTCATTTAGAAAATTGAGAAAATCGTAACCATTTTGATACACCCTATATACAACATAGCAAATGAATGAAATTGAAATTATTATTCGACGATATGAAAACAATCAAATATGTATAACTACTTGCAGGGTGTTTTGCTTTAAAAATGTATAGGTTTGGTCAGACAATCGTTTATGGATCACCCTGTATATTTTTTAATAATTGTTAACTTTTATATTAATTTTTTTTCGTATTTCCTATTATAAAACTGCTATCGATCAATTACGCACTCATGGGACACCCTGTATATGTGTTATTGACTAACATATTGGTATCGTTGGATATGTAAATTTATAAGGAACTGCATGCTTAAATAATATACAGGGTGTGGCATTTGAAAAAAATTAAATAAATTTAACTTGGAATTAGCCATATTTAAGACTTCTTTTTCAAAACACTCTGTATAAAATAATCCAGTTCCAGCACCACTATTCGTTAGCTTAGTATCTTATGCTATATGAAAAAAATTTGAAATCATTATTTGTAGGGCAAGATAGTAGAATTTTCAGATTGAATTTTAAGAGAAACATTGTATCCATCTTTTTAGCATAGATAACTAATAACCTGTTGGAAGTTTTAAAATTAACCAAAAGTTCTAAGTAGGAATTTTTGTTTTTGTTTTTTTAATCAATGCTTATAAATTTAGCTGCAAAATATTAACCAAATTAAAAGTGAATTTGGAGCACAATAACTGCAAAATTTATTGCAACTTCACTAGAAAATAATATAACCAAATTTTGTCTTGAAAGACTCATGAAAATAAAATAAAAGAAGTTATGAGTCATAAAAGTTGTATGACCATATTTAAAAATTATTCCTATATACACATGGTGGTCCATAAACGAAATGTTGACCAAACCTATACAATTTTAAAGCAAAACACCCTGCAGGTAGTTATACATATTTGATTGTTTTCACATCGTCAAATAATTTTGCTATGTTATATATAGGGTGTGTCAACACGCGAGGTTACAAATGTTTAAATTTTTTCAATGGAATACCCTGTATTAATTAATTGGTGACATAACATCCAGGGTGTTTCATTTAGGAAATTGAGAAAATCGTAACCATTTTGACACACCCTATATACAACATAGCAAATGAATGAAATTGAAATTATTGTTCGACGATATGAAAACAATCAAATATGTATAGGTTTGGTCAGACAATCGCTTATGGATCACCCTGTATATTTTTTAATAATTGTTAAATATGGTCATACAACTTTTATATTAATTTTTTTTATATGTGTTATTGACTAACATATCGGTATCGTTGGATATGTAAATTTATAAGGAACTGTATGCTTAAATAATATACAGGGTGTGGCATTTGAAAAAAATTAAATAAATTTAACTTGGAATTGGCCATATTTAAGACTTCTTTTTCAAAACACTCTGTATAAAATAATCTAGTTCTATCACCACTATTCGTTAGCTTAGTATCTTATGCTATATTATGAAAAAAATTTGAAATCATTGTAAACCTACCTAAATTATGATAATTTAATTTGGGGTCTGCATCATTCTCTAATTTCATAAAAAATTAATTTATTGACAACCCTGCAATATTTGTTAATAAAATTCTAGGGTTAAAAACAGTATTACCAAAGCATTCTAAAACTGAAGTAAAATACAGGGTTTTCTATTTAAAAAATATACCTTTTTATTTGTCAGACAAAAACGCAAAACCCTGTATGTCTAAAAATATCTTTAAAATATCTATTTTTGAAATTCATATAACTTTTATTTAGAAATAGTTTACGTATCTACAACATAAATTAAAATATTGATCAATTACGCACTAATGGGACAACCTGAATATATTATTCACAATATATGCACGCGGCATATGTTTGTAATAATTTAATCCAGCGCCGCGTTTATATTTATTCACGCTTCTATTAAATATTGTAGTTTACCTAAGTATTTACTTAAACTACTTTACTTATAAAACGTAAAAACAGACTTAAATTTTTAAAAAATAATTTTTGTATTGTGTATTGTGGGTAAATAAGGTAAAAAAGACATTTTTCTTTTTTTTTATTTGGTTCTTTGGCTGTAAGACCATTCGGTATATCATTAAGAATGGGAGCAACTGAATGAACTACTTAGTAATTACACCGATATTCCGAATCTAATCCAAAACTTTTATTTAGGTACCTGCTGCATTGAAAATATTTGTCAAGGTCAAGAACTCGTTTACTTATTATCGCGTAGTGGCTAGGGGGGATGAATTTGTTATTTTATAACAGTTACTGTTTAGAATTAATAAAATTATTACGCCTTCTGTTGTACAAAAGAACTATTAAATATGGAATATTGCTCCATTTGTTGAACGAAAGGATTCTTAATTTATGACACATAAATGACATCTATCAAAATTAGTTCATGTTACGAATATTGAGGGTGGTACTGTGGCCTTGGTTAACTGTGAGGAATTTGTTTCATATTTTGAGGTTAAGTATTAATAGTTTTTTTACCATATGATTCAGATAAAAATAAATTTTTAGATATAATTGATTTCTTAAAAGTTTGTGTATCCTGATAGATTATTAGTTAGTAATTAATTTAATTCAAAATAAATTAAAGTACTTTCAGATATAAACCAAATTCTTGGTAAATGAGGAGTTTGTATTTAGGTTAATGCTTAAATGGTAGTATACAACATTTATTTATGATAGGATTACTTGATTCTGGTAAATTTGTTCCACTTGTTAAATAAACCTTACTAGTCTATTTTTAAAACTTTTATTATTTAAGTAAGTACCTACTACCTCTTGGTATTCTTTATTAATTATCTTGATATTCAAAACAACTTATACATAATGAATAAGTTAAAAGTATCATAAATTATAAATTTTGTAATATATATATATATATTTATATTTATATATATTTAAGTATTTTACGCTGCATAATTTTAAGTGATAAGAATTTATCATGGTACTTTATATTTTTCAAAATTGTTTTATCACCATATTGACTGCGTCCAATGCTTGCTTTCCTGTAAAACCATGATATTTCTAATTGTTTATTGTATATTGTATATTTTTGTTAATTTGAAAGTAAAAAATATGGGGAGAACACTCTTATCTTGTCAATACATAGGCTAAACTTTTATAAAGAATATTTTTTTTTTGTTTAGGCCTTAGTTTTTCGTCAAATGAAGGGTATATTTCCAAAAGATTTTTTAATTGACTTTGGAGTATATTCTGTAACAATTCCTTTATATTTAACGGCCTTTAAAAATATTTTCTTCTTTACTTCTGTCATTATTTAAGCGTATCTTTAAAATACATTAGAGGACTATCTTAAAGAAATCTGTTTAAATAATGACAGAAGTAAATTAACGAATACGAAAATGTTTTTAAAGGCCGCCAATATTTTTAAAGGCCGCCAATATTTTTAAAGGCCATTAAATATAAAGCAATTGTTACAGAATAGACCCCTTTGTAGACGGTTGAAACCGAGATATTTATGTTTAAATTTTTTTCAGCCAGAAGGGCTAATGCAAATGATTGTTTTTAAATAATTATAAAAATTACTCCATACAAAGTCCTAATTGTGCATAGACCAAAAAATTAGCATTTTTTTATACGGTGGTATCAATATATCGATTTTTTATTATACTGCCCTTTTGCCCTGTTTATATCTACTATAGTCTATTTTTATGTATGAGAGAGTATTAAAATAATAAAGCGTACGTAATCCATAAGCGTAGCACTTCTTTTAATAGACAGTTAAAATATTTTTTGAAGTTATTCCTCGAGTATACACTTATATTTTCACCTAATTAACCTGCTTATAACTTCTAAACAGCTGAAGGTAAAAAAGTGCAATTTTTTCTAAAATGTTTTATTTTTCCACAAGGTATGTTAAGAACATTGTGTCAAACGGGTTATGTAGGTATAAGGGTTTAAACTTTGACTTTTAAACAACATTACGTTCATAAATAATAATTTCAATATAAAAACTACTTCTTACCTACAAATCCAAATCAGAATCCAACTCAGAAGATGAACTGTCGCAACCAATATTTACAATGAGTGGCTCGATCAATTCATCAGTAATATTGTCCAACTTCCACATTTTCTCTTCTTCTTTAATCGTATGATTTACTGCCTTTTCCCAGTTTTCAGGCTTCACATTATTTACAGCCTCCAAAAACAACTGTTTAACAT